ATTGATCGTTTCGTACGTCATTAACGACGTAGAAAACTAGACCGAGAACACTTCGAAATGATATTAAGAATGCAATATTTCGCCTTTGTTTGATGGAGAGTTAAGATTTTTTTAAAAGACGAGAGAAAAGAGAGAAAAATTAAAATTAATTGTGATTTTGCCCTGTTTGATGGAGATTAAAATCAAATTTTTAGTAAGTTTTGATAAAAGTTAAATAGTTATGGATTCCATGAAATATATTATTAAAATTAATTGTTAACTTTGATTTGGATTAAAATTTATATTTTAATCGATACTAAACACGTGCTCCCCCAAGACCCTCCCTAGGTCCGCCCATGCTAATTGGAATCACTTTTGTTTTCCTGTTACCTTGTGTGGAAGAGCTTCTCGATGAAGTCATATTGCATTTGCTTTCTTTAAAATCTCTTTCAACTGAACAAAGTAATTCTACAAAATTATTCATTTAAGTCCAAAAGTAACTTTTAGTTTTTAAGACCCTTCGAAATGGATTCCTAATTGTCTTTTCTTACATATAGGGAGAATAAAATAGGGGACAATATCAATCCACACACACACACACACACACAAAGGCCACAATTATGATAAGTCCCAAAAATGAAACTTCATAAAAGCCTCTAAAATATCACCAGAAGTGATGGGAACCCACGTAGCAATGATAGCTACGAAACCCGCACAAGATTGATTCAATCCAAGAAATCAATGTTTTAAGCTTGATTCAAAAATAGTGAATTAAGGAACCAACACAATCGCCGACAATATGTAGACTCCATGATTACAAAACTTAAGAATCTCACTTGATTTTGTTTGAACGCCACAAGAAATATTCTTGATAAGTTCACAATTAGCTCGATGAAGAACAAGAAGAAAGCATTATGGATTTCAATTAATTTCTTAATAAATTGTGTGTTTACAATGAATATAATGGCTTCTATTTATATGGAACCCATAAAACCTAGCTAGAAACGGAATTTAGCAAAAAATAAATAAAAATAGTAAAAGATATCACAAAATAAAGTTTTAAATTAAATAGAAGATTACTCGGAATATGGAAAACTCGTGGCCGAAAAACAACTATGCGGCTGCATAATATAAATTTATGTAGTTGCATACATCAATTGAAATCCTCCACTGGGGTTTTGGTAAAGAGGCACGCGGTGGCATGCCCTGGACAATGATGCGGCCACATAGTTGTCACTTCCAATTTCTCCGTCCATTACTTGAATCAAGTTGCTCCATTTCGTTTGAACTTCCATGCCCAACATGACACTTGTCCAGTTACTTGTTGTAATCAATGTTTCCTCTACTGTAGTTTGAGAAAGCAATCCCATAGCTTCCTTAACTAGCTTTGTTCACGACCTAGTCATTGGTCCTCCCTCAACGATCAACAGATCCTTACCCGAACTTGCCCTCGTATCATAGATCACATCATCCCCTCCATTTCGAAAGGATTCGACCTCGAATTTGTACCGTATCAAAGAGAGAAAGATTAAAGACATTAAAGATAGCTGAAATATTATATTCACCTAGAAGATCTAATTTGTAGCCATTGTTATTGATCTTTTCAAGGATTTAGAATGGACCATCTCCCTGTGGCTGCAACTTCGACTTTCTTTGTTATGAAAAAGGCTATTTCCTCAAGTGCACTCAAACACAATCTCTTGGTTCAAATGTAACGCACTTTCAGCCCTTATTTGTTTGAGAAGCATAATGCTCATTTTTTTCTCAATTTGCAATCTTACCTTTCATTGAGTGACTTCACCAAGTCGACCTTCTTCTTTCCATCTAAGCTACCCTCATTCATTCATAGATAAATTAATTAAATCCAAAGTGTAAGTGGATGAAAACCATATACAATT